TTCTTCAGAGTATCTGTTCATTACATCTTGCATTATATAATCTGTTCCCGTAAATAGTTTTTTAAAAAATCTTCTCATGTGTGAATTTCTACATGTATATCTATCCTCTCTGTATTATAGGGAAAAACAAATCATAACGACAGCAAAACAAATTCCTAGAAAAACATGCAATGAAAAAGACACATAAGACCACAATATTAGGTGATCTACCGTAGTTATTATGCTTTTTCTTGTTATTTTCAATAGACTTGTCCACATCATCGGGCTTAATATAGTTAAGCATAGTATTACATAGCTATTTTTATAAAAGTACAACTTGGAAAACATTGTAGGACTTGAGAGCTGTTAATAATCAATACCAGTATGGATATCTTTTACATCTTGTCATCTTCAGAGTAGTTGCCTCTACTTTTAGGGTTGATACTATCAAGCATACCAAATTCAAATAAAATCAGCCAAGGCAAAACCGCGGTCTAATGAATCGGATTCAAATAAGATCAGTCGTAGTAAGACAATGTAAGTAATACAGGATTTCAGTTTAAGTTAATAGGAAATTAAGTATAGTTACCAGGGTATAACCTGCTATTTTTGGGTCAGATGTCTGTGTCCTCAAATCTGATATGAGTGGACAGATCGGAACAAATTAAATTCAAACTAAACAGGGCGATAAGACTACTGTACCTTTTAAATCCTGATACGCTATTAACAATGACCTCTGCCTTTTTTAATAGTGTATCAAAACTATCTATACTAAAGATAATAGCTTACCGTCTCTGCCTCATGTCTGCTACTCCACTTTACTCCTATAATTTGTCCACCTTACTCCCTCATTCCACTGTCTGCCCCGTTCATTGAGGCCTCTCTACCACTGTTGCTGGAATCCTGGTATCCCTTCCTCTCTTTCTCTGGAATGTCCTTCAGCACTCTCTGTAGGGTTGGGTTGATGGCCACGAACTCCCACAGTTCCTCCTTGTCTTGGAAGCATCTTATTTCTCTATTAATTTTGAGAGAGTGTTTTTCTGGGTAAATGAGTCTTGGTGGCATATTATTTTCTTTCAGGACTTGGAATATTTCTCCCCATTCCTTTCTCGATTTGAGAGTTTGTGTTGACAAGTCTGTTGTTATTTTGATAATTTTCCCATTGTAGGTAATCTGCTTCTTTTCTCTGGCTGCTTTTAGTATTTTTTTTTTTTTTTGGTGGATTTCTGGAATCTTGATTATTATATCTGGATGTAGATCTGTTTTGGTCGTAAGTAGCTGGTGTTCTGTATTCCTCTTTTATCTGGATATCATTTCTTTTTCCTATACATGGGAAATTTCCCTTTAATATATCTGTGAATATTCTTTGTATTTCATTTTTGGTCGCTCCTGCTTCCTCATTCACATTCTTTATTCTTAAGTTATGTATCCTTTTGTCATCTTCTAGCCTTTGAATTGTTTCTTTCTGGTTCCTCATTTTTAAGAGGTTTTTTCTTTCACGATCATATATCATAAATCTCTCTTCCAGTTTCAAAAGGCTAACTTTAGTTTCTGTCAAGGCATTTTGCCAGTGTTCAATGGAGTTTTTAGTTTCCTGGTAATCTCTTTGGATCTGTTTCATGTATTCTAGGTTATGTTTAAATTCTTCTTCAGAAGTTTCTCTTCCTTTTCTGATTTCCTCTGTTCTTCCATCTGTGTTCTCTTGGGAGGGGCTTATCATTTCTTTAATTAATCTCTTTATATCTTGCCTCACTTGAATCAGGAGTACAGTTTTAAATTCATCTATGAGGTCATGAAAGTATTTTATTTCGGCTGATGCTGTGTCTAGTATTGGATGGTTACTGTGCTTGTTCTCTTCAGTGTTTACTTCTCCTGGACTTATTTTCTCATGTTGGGCAGCTGGAGATTTTTTTTATTCTATCTCTTGTCATGTTTCTGGTTTCTTTCAGACTGGAGTGTCCTGGGGATCTCTGGCCCTCTCCGTATTGCTTAGGGTCTTTCCAAAGCATGCTGACTTGAGTTTTTGCTGCCCTTCCCAATTTGCTGTTATCTGAGGTAGGCAGGGATGCAGGGATGGTGCAGGCTAGCCTCCAGTCTCTGTGCCAGTCAATCTGTGCCAGTTAGGTTGTACTTTGTGGACATCACAGAGTCGTGACTATTTTGTATCTGCTTATTGGGTCCCGAGCAGAGGCTTGGTTCAGCCCCAGCAGATCCTGCCAGTTCTTTCTGTGCCAGAAGCAGCTGGCTAATGTCACCGTGGCACAGGGCTCTGCCCAAATCCCAGCTGTCCTCTACCAGACCTCTCTGTGCCAGGAGCAACTATCTAATGTCACCACAGCACCGGGTCTGCCCAATTCCAAGATGTCCTCCACTAGTTCTCTCTGTGTCACTGATGCCATCATGGCACTGGGCTCTGCTCAGCACCCAGTCTTATTACAGAGTTGATACATTGCATCTGTTTGATTCCACTGGACTAAAGAGGGATGGGAACTCTCCATTACTCCCTTCAGCAACCACTCCACTGCTCTAGCTAAAGATTGCTCATCTTGGGGGTGCAGGGTGAGATTGGGTTTCTCTCTTGCAGGCAAACTGAAAGATCCCAGAAGCACTTGCTCTGGCCTGGGTATCCTCATGCCCAGCATGAGCAGCCAAGATGACATGCAGAATGTTGTTCACTGACTGTGGTTTGGAGATTCAATGGTAAGGACAGATGTAACCCCTGGCTTCCCCACCTTGGAGCACCCAGGTATGGAGTTCAGACTATGCAATGACATGTGTATGTTTTACAGTTTCTCAGAGCTGGTGGCATTTCTGGCTTCAACTGTAATGTCCTTGGAGGCAAAAGCAAAGATTCCTTTGCTCTGGGCCTTCTACAAAGCCTGTCACAGCCTGGCACAGCCTGGCACTGTGTGGGACTATATAGCAGCAGAGTGAAACAGAACACAATGATTCTCTGTAATCTCAGCTGTCTGGGATGCTGAGAAATGAGGATCACAAATTCAAACCAAGGCTAGGCAGCACAGCAACTTACAAGATCCTGTCTCAAAGTGAAAAATTAAGAAAAGGGCTGGGATGCAGCTTAGTAAAAAGTAAAATGAAACACAAAGATAATATCTTATTGTCTGCTCAGGCAGGGCTAGCCACTGTGTGTTCCTTGGCCACAAGAGACCACGAGGGAGTCACTGACTCCTCCAAATACATCAATGAGGCCAATGACAAGGGCATGCAGTATCTCCTTAAACTCCTTAGCAACATGCTAAGGGTGCTATCTCCCCTGACCCCACATCACCCAAGGCATTACACAAGGCATTGCATTCACCACCTGGCAGCCAGGGAGAGAAGGTCAGGGTGCCCGAGGCCATGTGTCTAACATCCCCAGGCTGGTAAGTCACAGAGCCCAGCATGTGAGCCTGCAAAGCTGACCCTCCTTCACACCACACTGCCTGGTGGGACTGGAAATAAAAGGGCATCTGTGCAGAGTCATGGTAGGGAAAAGACGGGTCAATTTCAGCCCACCAGTTAGACAGCAGGGAAGCTGGGCTTCTGGGAAGTGGACAGAAACCAAGAAGGGAAAGGTCGCCTGCCCGCTCTCCTTCCTCCTCCTTTTGAGGGCTGGGCACTGCAGACCTGATGTGTGGCAGAAGCAGGCCTTGAGGGGCTGTCACAGAACCAGCCCTGATCTGGGAGTATCTCTGAAGGCAGGATTCAGACTTCAGTATCCACATCTGCTTTCTTCATCCCCCACGTCCCTCCAGATGGTAAGTGGTGTAGCAAGTGGGGGAACCCTCACTTGTGTTGTGTGACTTTGGGCAAGTCAGTTGGCCTTTCTGTGCTTCTGTATCCCGGACACAAAGTAGGGAAGTGAATGGTGCCCCCATGCTGAACTGTAAGAACCCAGGCCTTACCCATTCCTGTGGTGATGCCTAGCACGTGGTAGCATTCACAGTGTGAAAGCTGTCAGGAAAACCCTCTCATACAGTCCTGAAGCTCAGCTCAAGTGCCCCCCCCATGTCTGCTGATACAGAGTAAAAGTTAACATGAAGCCTAGACAGCAGAGGAGAAGGGCTAATGCACCCTTTAACTCAAGAACTTGGACCTAATTGCTACCCTTTATTACCCTCAGGATGTGGCCCAGGAAATGCATGCACTTCACTGAGTCTTCTCAACAATCCAGCTTGGTCATGATGCTCCATGCCCATTCTCTGGAGGAGAAAACTGAGGCCCAGGACAGTGAAGACATCTGAAGGTAAAGCCTGGCTTTACTACATATGACATCAGGAAGGGCCACATGTGATATGTGATCAAAATATACAGATTCATTAGAATAAAGACACATTGTCATTAGTCCCCTCAGGATGCTCTCCCTCACTTGGAGCACCACCTATCCCACCATCCTTGCCACTTTCTGAAGCAGTTCTAGAAGTCCTCTTTCATGAATGTCTCTGGTTGCACCTTCATTGCTGGATCAATTCAAAATGTTTATTTACCTTTCGCGGTCATTTTGACACTGAGGAGTCGCCAGATCTGCTGAATAAGGTGGGTGAAGACACACAAGTGCTTTCACAAGCCTGCCTTTTCCTTGATTGATACTCAACAGCATTGACTGCATTTCTTTTATCAAACTCTGTTAAAACAGTTATGAAAGGGGACTTCCAGAACTGATTCCGAAAGTGGCAGGAATGATGGGTTAAGTGTGTTTGAGGTGACGGGGAATAACAGAGGAGATTAGTGGCAGTATGTCTTTCATTGTAATAAATTAAAATTTTTTTCACTATATTTTTGATCACCTTTTGTGCAAACCCAAAAGGAAAGTGGTCCCCAGGTACCTGGATAATTGCTCACTTTCCTTGGATCTCAGTGTTCTCATCTGGAAATTGAGAATGATTTGGTATATGTAAATATGCTTTTGAAATTGGTCGTGTGTTCTTGTATGTTGAGCAATACATAAAACTCCCCAGGCCACAGGAGCACGGAAGCAGGCCTAGGCCTCTTGTCACCAGCAACCACGAGGGGACACTCACGGAAAAGAACCATGAAAAAGCGGGTCTCATTGAGCATCTGCTCCAGGCCGGCTGGTGTCAGAACCAGCAGATTTTGCTCCTCCACGATATGCAAGGGCTGGGAGGGGTTGATGTTGGGGGCAGTGGCATCCTGCTCCAGAGAGCTGTGGGTGGTGGGGACCCAAGAGGTCAGTGTCAGCAGGGTCATCCAGAGCAGTTCCATGGCTGTCCTGCCTAGGAAAGGAACAGAGCCTTTATTAACACAGGTGGGCCTCTCTCCCACTCTAGTGTTTCCCTCCACATCCTGCCTCTCACCTGGGGACCCATTGGCCTGGGCACTGTTCCCCAGTGGAGCCCAATGCTTGGCAGCAGCATGGCCCAGAGACAAGATACTGGGATAGCCTCAGTCCCGAAAGTGAGTGACTACATTCGGGAAGCTCAGCACAACTAGGTCACATGGGACAGCAGGACACTCATGACCGCTGGCTTCCCAGCCACTATTGAAAACTTGCAGAGAAAGGTCTCATGCCAAGGTGAGCCTCTCAACCAGTGCCCCAACCCAGGCTTCCAAGAGCCCTTCTGCCAACAGTGCCCCATGCTCCCTTGCATCATGTTCCTCCAACTCCAGCCTAAATGCCCCTGTGACAGGATGCTCACTACCTTATGATGAACCACATTTGGTTCTTGAAATATTTTCAAGAATAAATATTTCCTTCTAAAAGCCATAACCACAAAATGCACTTGTAAAAGTATTGAGTACCAAATAAAAATCTCTCCTTTATTCTAGCCAAGAAAACTGTTATATTTAGAATGAATCCTTCAAGATATTGAAAATGCCTTTGTGAACATGCTTTGAGTGCACCTTTTGAGACAGTGTGTATTGCATAGTGCTTAATTCTCTCTCTTTAACCTTTGGAATTTATTAAAAATCCCCTGATGCTCAACCTCACTCCTGACCAAACTGACTCAGAATTTCTCAGTGTGGGGCCTGAAAATCAAAATATTTGTAGTTTCCAAGGTGATTTTTGTGGTTTTGCTCATGTTTGCTTGCATTTGTTATTGTTGTTATTGTTTGTGGTACTGGGGATTGAACCCACGCTCTCTGCACTGAGCTTCGCTCCTAAATCTTTTTTCAATATTTATTTTGAGACAGGGTCTTGCTAAGTCACTGAGTTGCTCAGGCAGGGCTTGAACTTGTGATCTCCCTGTTTTGGCCTCTCAGAGAGCTGGGATTGCCAGTTTATTATACATGGTTTATGGTTGTTATTTTAACCATTTACTTGGGACATCTTGAGCATAAAGATAAGAGTGCTATGATGTGTCCCCACGATACCCACCCTTCAACTTCTTTACTGCCATGGCTAAATATTTCATTTATATTCTTATCAGCTCTCTACCCTGGATTATGTTGAAGGCAGTCTTAGGCGTTGTACATTTCACCTGTAAATATTTTATTATGAATCACTATGTGACACAGATTATTTTAAAATAGCAAATAACCACAATAGCATAACATCCACATATCATCGTCAACAACCCAGGCAGTATGCAAATCACCCAGATTGCCTCATAAAATTTAAATTTTTTAAATCAGGATCCAAGTGAAACTTATTGATTGTCGGCTCTCTTAAACTTTGCCCAGGTAATTCAAGTGGACAAGGTTTAAAAGAGTAATGCAACTCAAGAACCATGTGGTCAAGTGAAATCAGCAAGGCTAAGTCAAGATAAGGGTGAAAGGTGGGTGGATGCCTTCAGGATTGTTAAACAATGGATATGATCCAAATCTGTGTCTCAGCCAAAGGACTCATGGTTGCCAGGTTGGCATTAAGGGTCCCTAATGACCTATAGTGTCCCCACATTCACAGCCAATGTGCCACTCACCAGCTCTGGCTAGGTCTGCTAGAGTACAACGATGACTATTAGAAGTTTTGTTTTTAGCACTAATGTTCTTTTGCTTTTTTTTTTTCTTTGAGTCATTCACTTGCAATAGGAATCGTCACCTAAAAGTTCATTTCCTACATGGAGGCATCAGAGTACTGGAGTGTTAATTTTCATTTACAGAAAATCACCAGAATGACCATTTCTTCGCTATGCAAAAACAAGGTAGTGAGGGTAGCCAGAACCTTCCCGGTCCTGACATTGGCCATCCATTCTGTATTTTTGTGGTATCCTGAATCCTTCTGGGCAAAAGGGATCAGATTTGCAAAAGTGACAAGGGATCTTCTGGGGAGAAACTTGAAATTAAAGATTTTAAGATCCTCTCTGTGCCACCTGCACGAGGAAAGAGGATCCTGGGCCTCTCTCCCTGCATACAAGGGAGACACTGCAGTCCGCCTCAGGCAGGCAGGATGGTAATCAGGTGCTGCTGGCTGAGAGGCAGGCCCTCCATGGCAACTTCTGCTGCCTCAGCTTCCCCTCTGGCACATTTATTCAATCATTTGTACAACTTTCCAGATGTTTTTGAGGCTTGTAACATGTTGCATACGTTGCATGCTGTTAGGTGCTAGATCTATAAAAGTCAAAAAGATGGGCAGAAGTCCATGCATTCTGGTCATGTGAAACATAGTGGATTGTATATGTGACACTGATCCAGACTCAAGAGAAAAGGAGATAAGGGAAGACTCGGAAATGATAGGGAGGGGGACGTGTTAATAATTAATAAGGTGACCTTTGACAGCCTCAATCAGAAGATGGCATTTGACTGAAGGAAGCAGAGAAGAGTCCTATTTTCATTTCCAAGAGTGTGCGAGGGGGTGTTCCTATCCTCTTCTCTGGCCCCTCCAGCCTGAGCTGTGCGCCACTCAAACTCTGGATCCCTCTCTGATTCAGGCTGGCACTGTGTTACCAGCTTTACTGTGGCTGCCCCTTTGTTCTCTGTGCTGTGGACCTTGCTTCTCCTTGCACGTTACCTGGTATGACCCATGTCCCCTTCCTCCCCCACAAAGGCACACTGCCCAGGCCTACAAATTCCAGTTTGGAGTAAAGTGGCCACCATGGATTCCTGATCAATAAGAATGGCTAACGTGGAGTGACACATGCCGCATCTGTTGTCCAGCATCCCCTAAGACCCGATGCCCCAGACACATCATCTTCTGTCCAGACAGTGCCGTGACCTGCTAGCTGACCTGTGTTTCAGCTCTCTGCTTTCCCCTACTCCATGCCCCACACAGCCATCGTGAGTTCCTTCTTAAACGTGAGTATGGCTCCGATTCCTCACAGGTCCCAGCAGTGCGCCGTCACGCACAGCTCAAAGCTTGGCCTTGTGGCTTCTCAGGTCCACTCTGGCTCTGGGTCTTACTTTTGCCCATCTGACCTTATACCCTCCGGTCTCCTCTCTATTCTCTCTCCTGATCTCTCTACCATGGGACAGTGGCCTCTGCTTATGACACCTCTACCCCACCTCACAGCCCTGTCTGGTCCTTCAGATCTCAGCCAAACACCAGCCTACCGAAGGATTTCTCTTTTTAACTTTTAAATGCCAATACCATTATTCAGAGCTGTTTTCCTGCCTCCTGGAACAATGTGTGGACCTGATTTTGGAGTTCAGTGCATGTTTGGTGGATGGATGGATGGATGGATGGATAAGTGAGATAATGTAATTCTCACCAAAAAACCCCAAGGTCCATTACAAAGTTTTTCAACTATGATAAACCACTAGAATTCCCTTGGGAATTTGGCGAGAGTACTGGCACTTGAGCACAAACCCACCCCAGGTGAGCTGGGGTCCCCTGGTTTACTCTAATGTGTGGCCACCTTCAGTGTACGATGTTCGGCAGAGGGAAGGCTGCCATCACGGGGCTCACCGGTCAGCGTCATCGCTGATGTTCATACCTGTGGGAAGCTGGGTCACTTTCAAAGCTGTGGTGCCACTCTGGGCTGGTCCTGTAGAAGGGAGGTAGTGATGTGATGGTAGGCTCGGCCCTCACCTGTGATTAGAGAAGGACTGGTTGACAGCTGGACAGTCCAAAGAAACCCAGGGGCAGAAAGGAAGCTCCTTCCAAAACCCACTGAGGCCACTGCAGCCCACAGCAATGTTCTGGGTTCTGGAGTTCTGGAGAGCCAAGTGACCCAGGAGAATAATGGGCCATTATTGAGTCAGAGGGGCCCTACTCAGCAGCCCCCCACATGCACATGGGGCTGGAGTTTCATGGAAGGTCAGAAACAGACATGACTTGGACACAGGGTTTAAGGACCTAACGTTCTAAGCAGTGTGGCCCTGAATACATGTTACTGTTTCTGAAGTGTCTCCTGTCATGTACAATGGTATACAACTCAGGGGTGGGGTAAGCAAGAGAGTATCAGGATATTCCTTCTCCCATCTAGGCTTTGGCTACCCACTTAATGCTGGGCTTTGCTTTTTCTTTCCTTTTTATCAGTGTTGGTGATCAATCCTCACACATGCTGATCCAATGTCCTACCACTGACCTGCATGTCCAGCCCTCTTGAGTGCTCTCCTCACTCTGCTCAGATCACATTGACCTCTTCACCAGTCCTCAAATATAACAATCACGTACCCACCTCAGGACCTTTACACCTGCAGTTTCCCCTGCCAGAAACTCTGCACCCAGGAATACTCAAGGTTCACACTACTGGATCCTTGAAGACGTTGCTCACATGTCACTTTCCCACTGGCCTTTTCCTGACCACCTTGTCTAAAATAACAGCCCCATGTGCCTTTCAGCCACTCCGAGACTCCCCATTCTCTTTCTGGCCTTTATTTTTCTTCATAGTATTAATCGTCTTCTAAATTATGTGTCATTTCCTTTGCAAAAATCAGGTAAGAGGTGCCCAATAAACATTTGTTGGATGAATAAATAAAAGCCCATTAAAGTGTTTCCCATCATTGTTATATGGTCAGAGGTTGCAGGGGCAGCTCTGCACTGGCCTGTGCTCTCAAATACTGATACAAAAGGTGGACATTGAGCTCAGCCTGCCTGCAGTACAGAAAAGCAGCCCAGCCGCCTGAGAGTGAAGATTGGATCATTAGTGATGAGAATGTCACTCAGGGCCAGTAGAGAAACCTGTAGCCGAGCGTGGTGGAGAGAAGCTGCTATATAGAAAGCGTCCATATAGAGAAGCTGCTATTTGGAAATGGGCCACACTAACTGGGCCAGGAAATGAGTCAGGGTCACAGGGAATCCTGATGCAGTAAGGGACCAAAAACCTGTGGATGTTGGCAGTGGCTTCCTGAGCTTCCGCTAGATGGCGCACGTCCCCTCCTCTGCCAGGGGTTGCTCTGAGAACTGAATAAATCTGCAGTTCCTACAAGTGCTTGCCACTGAGAATTTCTCCCATTTTAGTTTAATCTCAGGGAGAAAAAAAAATGCACACTTTGTACCCAGAGTATCAGAAATGAATTTGTACCTGTTACACATGGAAAGTTTCCCCACTAGGTGTGGCAATAAGACATGCTGGGTAAATATTAACTATTTATTATCCATTAATTCAGCAAGTATTTGTGGAGTTCTTCCAACGTAGCAGGTACTGTTCTAAGTGCTGGGAAATGGTGGCGCAGAAGACTCCAAATCTATGCCCTCTTGGAGCTCAGGTTTGTGCACACGCGGGTGTGTGTGTGTGTGTGTGTGTGTGTGTGTGTTAAAACTTTGGGAACTTAATGTGCTACGCTGGGGTATTTTTAGCTAGTGTTCTCAGGGACACAGTGTCCTGGAAGCACACTGTGAGCCAGAACCTCGGAAGATAAACAAGGGGCCAGGGTAGCTGAGCAGAATGAGCAGGGGAAAGCGCAGACAAGAAGCTGGGAAACCACATGGGGTCCTGGAGGCTTTGTCGGGAACTTTGCTGACTGCAGGAAAGAGGGAGCTGCAGGAGGCCTCTTACTTAGTTTTAACAGCTTTATTTAGACAGTGTACGATTAGCAGACCTATTAGTAAATCTGCAGAGTCATGGGGCGCGCCGCCATCATCGTTCAAGGATTTCCCGGAGACCTTAGGAGTCACTCCCTGTCCACATACTCCAGGCCACTGCGCATGCGCCTTCCGTGTACCAGTGAGTGTGGAGCAAAGGACAGACAAGGCTTGTTTAGTATCACTGGTGTAGCTTTTCTGTTCAAACAGAATAAAAATCCCAGCTCTCTTTTCAGATTAGCCGATGATTAAAATTCTCCGGGGCCACATCATCCTCCAGTTCAGAGCCCCCACTCCCTGTCCCGGAACCCAGTGTGATCTGGCAGGCTCTCTGAGCCCTGGAAGCAACCAGGCTCTTGCTGGCACGCAAAGCCTGGCCAGTTGAAAGCTGAAGACTCGGAGACCTTACTGACTTGGGCCTCTGCCCTCTCTTGGCTGTGGTACAGCTGAAGTTCTCTGTGGGAGGCTGATTCTGCAATTTGGATCCTGAGGGAAAAAAATAACTGCAGGCTCTCAAGCTGCTCTTCTAGGCTGAAAGAAACAGAACACCTTTCTATCTCCTAGGCTCAAGAACAAGGTAATTGGGCAAGAAGTCCTTCAGAAGCAGTGGCAGCTGCCCCCTGCCCAGGTTTCTGCTCATTAAAGCCGAGAAGGGGAATGGTGTGAAATGGCCTGAGAAGACTACTGGGGACAGAGTGGGGCCCGGGGATTCCAACAGATCAGCTGTCAAGAAATCCAGGGGCAGAACTCTGGGAGGCCAAGGCAGGAGGGTCGCAAGTTTGAGTGGAGCCTGAACAATTCAGCAGACCCTGTCTGAGAAAAGAATAATAAAAAGGGCTGGGATGTAATTCGGTGTGAAGACCTTGAGTTCAACCCCCAGTACAAAGTCAAGGCAAAAGAGAAGGAAGGAAGGAAGGAAGGAGGAAGAGAAAGAGGGAGGGAAGGAGGGAGGGAGAGAGAGAAATCGGGAAGCAGTCTAGGAGAGATGATGCATGAGGGAGGGACCGGGAAAGAGTGTCTAAGGCCCCAGGCCAGGGTTGGTGGCCGCAGTAGAGATTGGGCCTACACTTTTCAAGGAAGATGAAGCTCAGAAGTCATGTTCTCAAGCCTCCTTCTCTTCATTTGGAGAAACTGGCATTCACAGCAGAGAGTTGGCATATGGATTTAATGAAATAATGTTCACAGAGCACTTTCTGTATGCATGGTAGAGAGTAAGCCTCCTAGAGACTGTGGCTGGTACAGGAGTTTCTTTTCGTGTGACCTTGTTATTACTGAATATTATTCCTATATTCTGTTTTTATTGTTACTGAGAGGAACTTGGCAGGGAGACCTAAAAAACTTGGGACTCAGTGCCTACCTAGGCTGCTGCTTTTCAGATTTTACTGTGTTCTCAGCAGCTCCGGAGACCCCACTAATGTACAGAGTCTAATTCCGCAGAGGCAGGGTGGGAGCTGAGCCCTTGTCACAAGCTCTGGGTGCTGCTGCTGCTGCTGCTGGTGCAAAGACACTGTGAATAGCAAGACACTAAAATAGCCTTGGGCAGTCCAGGGCCACCACCAACCTGTGACCCTTGAGCAACCGATCAAACTGAGTAGTGCTTGTAAATGTGGTACCCACAATGGATTTTGAGGACCTAGTCCAAAAAAGAATAAAATCTATTTCTTTTTTTGTCTTAAAGATATCTCTCCTTTTTTTTGGTTTGGTTTTGTTTGGTTTGCACCGGGGATCAAACTCACAACCTCACACTTGCCAGGCAGGTGCTTATGCCGCCAAGCTAAATCCCCAGCTAGAATAAAATATATTTCTTTAATAATTTTTCATACTGATTCCATATTGAAATGATAATACTCTTCGTGCACTTAGTTTAATAAGATGCAGTGTTATAACTAAGATTACTTGTTTGTCCTTTCTTTTATTCGTAAGAATATCCCCAAGTGGAGTCTGAAAAGTCTTCCAAAAAGGAAAGAGGTTCTTAACTTAGCCCATCAAATAGGTTCTGAATCATATCATGGAAAAAGAAGTCCAGGACACATCAGTCCAAACTGTAAGGTGGATTTATTAGGCCAAATTAGAAAGTAAGGTAAAAAAAGGAAAAAACTTAAGCTTGAATAGCTAAGAGGGATCCACTCTGATTCAAGGTTCAGGTTGGCCTGCTCACAAAGGTAAAAGACCAGCTTTGAAAGGTTAGCTGAGGTGGACCAGGGCCCAGTAAATCATTCTCTCAGTTCTAGTTCCTTGGCTCCATAGGGAACCTTGTGGCTTGAGGGACAATTCCGGTACAAGGAGATGACCCATCATCCTTGCTCAGGAGGAGTGGCCTCAGTTCCCTCGTGGCATAATTGCATCTGCACAGAGGGAGGTGACCCCATCATACAGTGGCTTCCAAGGCTCTGTTGCACCTGGAAGCTGAGACAGCTGTAGGCTGCAGACGTCTGCATGTTGCTCCAGCAGTGTCTAGAGGTGGCTGACAGTGGATGTCTCCAGAAACCTTTTATCTTAGTGTCCATGGTCTTGAAGGAGGATGAACTGGACGAGGTAAATTCAGCCATAGCAAATCTTGTTTTGCCAACTTTTTCTCAATGATTAACATTCCTGCACAGAGACCTTAACAGGAGTCTGATCCAGAGTTTCAGGCTTTAAAACAAAAGCCAAAAACTATCAAGTCCCCTTGCCTCCTTTCTACCTATCTTTCTTTCTTCTCTCCTACCTCAAACTACAGAAAATTATTGGTTGCTCTATTTCTTCTGGGCTGTGCTGTCTGGAAACTTCAGCTTTGTCAGACCCCTTCAGGATTGGCCAAGGGAAATTAGAGGAAACAGCTGGCAGGGAAAGCTTTGAACATTCCCAACACAAAGCAATGGTTAAAGTTTGATCTGATGGATACGCCCATAACCTGATCTGATCATCACATATCCTATACATGCACTGAAATGGGATACTGTGTCCCATAAATATATGCAGTTTAAATGTCAAATACTTTAAATATATTTTTAAAAGTTTTTTTAATGCATCAATGAAGTAAATAATATTAGAGGAATTGCCTGTGAAGGACTGAAATTTGAGAAGGTAATGACCTCAGGCCTGCAGAGACCCTGTTGATAGCAAGAGGTAAGAGATGTGGGCCTCAGGTTCAAGTAAGAGCCATAAGCAGTGTCACAAACAAAACCAACACTGAGGCCACCAGTGTGTTCTCCAAGCAGCATGAGCTAAAGACACCCTCATGACTAGTCACAGGCCTCTCCCCAGCTCCAAAGCCCAGATGTCAACACAGTGGTTTCCCTCCTCTCTTTGGTGACAGGCAGGACACTCGACATGAGGCTATGGCTGAGAGGTCCGGACCTCCGGGCACCGAGGAGCTCCTGGGAATTCTGCAGAGTCTACACACAGCTTTCACCTCTTCCTGCCCCTCAGAAGATTCTGGCTGGCTGGGAAGCCATCAGCCTGGGGAGGCAGCCGGTGCCTGAGTACTTCAACTTTGCCCATGACGTGCTGGACATGTGGGCTCAGCAGGAAAAGGTGACACCCATCCTGTCCTTGTGTCCATCTTCGGCATGCGAGGCTGCCCTCAACCACTACCATGAGACTTAAAGGCAGGAAGACAGGTTGATTTGGGTATTTTGAGCTTGAACTTAGCAATTCTGAAATTTTAAACTGTTAGCATTTAAGCCTCAGAGGGGAAATTGTGAAAATTTGTTATAAGCCAAAAACCTCCTTGCATAATTCCTGAGAGGTCTCGCATTCCTGAGCCCCAAATCATACCCTGATTACCTCCCCACTGATCTGATGAAGAGCAGGAGGAAATTCTGATTTGCTGATAGTCTATCTTTAGTATTTCTCTTACCCCCATTGACTCTACTTCTACATAAGGAGCTCTGGCTCAGTTTGCATACATCATAGTGGATACACAGACTTTAGTTAAGATAATCTCACTTTTTTTTTCCTTTTTTGAGACAGAGTCTTGCTATGCAGTTCAGGCTGGCCTTGAGCTCACTTTGTAGCCCAGGCTGGTCTCGAACTCAAAACGATCCTCCCACCTCAGCCTCCTGAGTGCTGGGATTACAGGCGTGAGCCACCATGCCCGGCTGATAATCCCACTTTCTTCATGTGGCTCACTGCATTGCTTCTTTATTTTCTCTTCTAGATATAAATGTCATGTGTTTTTCTCTGTTTGATGTTATAGGATACATTTTCATTGCTAATAAGGGAATAAATTTTTTATTTCAAAGAAATTTACTTATGTTATCTTTTAGGAAAAACTTGTTCAAAGAAAAAAATGAGGTCATTACTACAGGAGTGGGTGTGGTAAGATTTGAGAAGGTGATACGAGGATGAGTGAGATTACGGGCTTCGCAGTTAGATAGACAGGGCTCACTGCATACCTGAAGTGTAAACTTGAACGACTGCATCCGGGGTTTCTCACGGCACAATGAGTCACGCCATATAGTAGTTGTGAGAGTTCAGTGGGAAGTGAATGTAAGAGATGGAGACAGAATGCTCCGTTCTTAACGGTCTGCAAATCTAAGTTCCTTTTTTTTTTTTTTTTTTTTTTTTGCCATACTAAGGAGCAGCCTTAGAGGACTTCTAATGATAAAGAAAAATAAACAGTTTTAAAAGAGTCAAAAATGTTAGAATTAGGCACTTTTAACAACTCTCCTTCAAAAAAGTAAAGACAACAATCCTAGGAAAGTTGTGACAATCAACTTTTCAGAATTCTGGAAAGTAACCAGAGATTGAAGGAATCAAGAAAGTGTTCAGTAAAGAAAATCGATGAATCTCAGTTTTAAAAAAATGCAAGCCTGCATCATTCCAACCCGCCCTAGTCCCAACTTCCACTTTCCGGTACACAGTAGACTTGGAAAATAATAGCCCTCGTTCCCAGGGTAGCCTGGGCGCTGCAGAGGGAGCAGGAAAGAGTCAAGACCACTTCAAAGCTTCACTGTTTGGTCAGTCTGCTGGTTGTTCGTAAGACCCCGTTTTCAAACCTTTCATTGTGTGAGCTGACTAACAACTCGTCCAGTGAGAAAAGCCTTTTCTTTAGCAGCCATGCACCAGAAAACAATTACAGGCAAGGGTTTTAAATCTGTAGCTGAGTAAAGTGGGCAACAGTTGAGGCAAACCACAGACCGGGGTAATCAAAGAGCTAGGAGACAAGAATAATAACAAAAATAGCTGGGGAATGAGATGCCTGTAGGTACTTGAGAAATTTCCTAATGTTTTTCTGGGAATCTCAAAAGCAAACCTCACCAGTAGGACTTTGTGCATGCATGCTCAGAAAACTCTAAGCTCTCACTTCTGGCTGATCTGGAGATCCTGATCAAGCAGGAAGTTATGCCAAGGTCGATTTGCTACTTTGTACACTCTTTCTTTGCAGGACATGAAAATGTCTTGAGTTAGATAATAGTCACTGCATAGTTCACGGGGCTGTAATCCCAGCCCTGTGAGAGGCTGAGGCAGGAGGATCACAAATTCAAGCCCAGTGTGGGTGATTTAGCATGAGAAGAGGGAATGTAATTCAATATGAAGGCCTTGATAGAAACACACACACACGATGATGTAATTATACAATCTTGAAATATACTAAAAACCAGGGAACTGTACATTTTAAAGTTCATTTTTATGGTAAGTGAATGTAACAGTGCTTAAAAGGGGCAGACACATGACAGTATAAATAATATGCTACCTCTTGCATTAAAAAGCTGTTATGGGAAAAATATGCTTACGCTTGCCTAACCACTAGAAAGATTTTGAAGAAACTAATACCATTTCTCTTGTGCCTAAACTTCTGTCTAGGCTGGGCACCGACCTTCAAGCCCTGCATTCTGGTGGGTGGATGGCAAAGGAGCAGAGGTCAAGTGGAGCTTTGACGAGCTGGGGATGCAGTCCAGGAAGGCAGCCAACATTCTAGAGAAAGTCTGCAGCCTGAAGCCTGGGGACAGAATGATGCTGGTGCTCCCACGACTCCCAGAGTGGTGGCTGGTCAGTGTGGCCTGCATGCGCACAGGTCAGTACCAGGGCTGGGACTCCCTGCCAGAGCTTTGCGGTTGCCGCAAGGGTGGGGAGGAGGAGCAAAATGAATCCTATGTGGTTTGTTCTGTTCCCCTTTGCAAACTTGTTTTCATCATGAGTCAGACGACAATGGGAAAGATAACAAGCAGGCCCACTCAGTGAGATCCAGAGCACAGGGGTTCCTGCACTTCCTCCAGCAGCTGGTATGTGATAGCCAGCACATTAAGTGATCTGCGTGATCAAAACTTCCCTTTGGAGTGCTTATTATTTTTTATGTGACATAAATTTCACTAGTTCCTCCATTTATACAGTTTCATTCGTTTTTTTGCTGTCCAAACAGAATAAATCAAAACCACAGCCCATGTTACTGTGTCAAGGCTCTCCATGTTAGAAGACACCCGACCTGGTGCCTTTAAAGTTCCACATCCCATGATCTCCTTAGACATACTTATCACTTCTCTTCTAGACTACGGTGTCTGATTTATTTCTCCTGCTGACAGCTCTGGTTGTCTCCTGCTTGAGTCCCAAACTAGAACACAGTTCCCAAAGTACCACAAACAAAGTGCAAATGAACCAGACTTCTACTGGAAAAAACTAAAACAGAGAAGAAATGAAGTCCAAATGTCTGATGTAATTTGCGATTGGCCCCTTCCTCTGTGTCCCATCCCCACTGAGTGGATATGGAGAGTAACGAATGCTTTCAGGATTATTTTCTTCTCATCTATGAAATGTGAGTTTTGGACTCAATGAAATGTTTACAACACACATTCTCAGATACTCAAGTATATGATTAAAATACCTGTCTGGTTTTGCCTCCTCACTTCTTTCCCTTGGTAAAATCAGCTACCCCCCTAGAATGACTCTGGCTAAAACAATGTGGGGGCCCTAGTACTCTGATATACTCCCCTATATTCTCCCTGTACCAGCAAGCAACTCACACCCAATAGGAGAAATAATTGTAGCATTTTGTTTGAAAGGCATGGTAAACCATTGAACTAGGTAATCTCTAAGGCAATATAATACCATCACGATCATAGATTCTTGGGCTTACTGCTGCTTGGCTTCAGAATTCCGTCTTTGTAACATAATAGTTACGTGAACGTGGCACGTCTAAATTTTTTAATTTAAACAGTGAGTATTAAAATAGAAGTCACTTCCTAGGATTGTGAGAATTGAATACAATAATGCATGTAATGTTCTAGTGCATGTTAATGCTCCATAAGTGTTTTCTGCATTTTGTTATTATTATCATAGTTATCTATTCCAGCCCTCTGCAGCCCCTGTCAGCTCCTGTGTCTGGCCTCTGCGCTGGAGTCCTCTGCTGTTAAAACATCCCCTCTGTGTGATTTCAGGAGTTGTCATGATCCCAGGTGTCTCCCAGCTGACAGAGAAGGACCTCAAGTACCGGCTACAGGTGTCCAGGGCCAAGTCCATTATCACCAGTGACTCCCTAGCTCCACACGTGGATGCCATCAGTGCCGAATGCCCCTCCCTACAGGCCAAGCTGTTGGTGTCAGATGCCAGTCGCCCAGGCTGGATGAACTTCAGGGAACTGCTGCAGTGAGTAGAGACCATCTAAAAGAATAATGAGAAAATAAAGTCAGGCACTTCCCCTTTAAGCATCAAAACATGAAATAAATTGCTGACTGCCCCTGAGGGTAGTGAATCAGGGAGGAGCTCTCACTTTGGAAGCCAGACTGACCTGAGACATAGTTCTTGCGACTCCTGTAATGTTCAGGTGTACTGAGTCAGCATGGGATGTGTCACTAGCCTTTCTGTGCCTCATTTCTCTCTATGTTGATGTCACTAGTTATTATAGTCAGTTATCTGAGTTAACCCATATGATACATTTAGTACCTAGCAAATGATTGGTAATAAAATAACTTTCATGATCTTAGTGCTTAGTATATTGTAAGCACAATGCTAGATAAGCATTCACCTACTTTCACCCGTGCAGGAGAGTTTTTAATTTATTAGACGACAAGCACTGTGTGTGGTATTCCCAATCATAATGAATAAAACACATTATCTTATTTAAACACAATAAAGAACTCCATATAGTACAATAAAATCCCATCTTACAGATGAAGAAATAAACTTGGAACAGTGAAATGACTTGCCCAAGGTACTAAAAAGAAGCTCAGTCAGGGTTGGGATGGGTCCAAAACCACATTTGCCTTGAAGCAAGGACCTGGGAAATTCAGACTTTCTCCCAATAGCTAGACTCCAAAAGGGACCTCTCAGGGTCCTACACTATATCAATTTGCATCCTACAGACCAGATTACCCTGGGTGTTTTTGAAATACATATTCCAAGGGCCCACACCTGATCTACTTAGTCATCTCTGATCCAGGGCCCTAGGAATCTGTAGGTTTAAAATCAACCCAAGTGATTTAGATGAGCTACAAGAGTAGCCTAGGTCAGCAGCCCTCAGTTTTAGTTGTCATTATAAGAAGCCGAGGAGTGTGTTCCACTAGCAGTTCCCTGCACCCTGGTGCACATCAGGCTCCTGTGATTCATTTAACCTTGTCTGTAGAAGAATGGCAGAACTGCTGTAAGGTGGGTATAGATAATGCAGACTGTGACTCAGCACAGCACCTCACACATGGTATTTAGTGAAATGGTGGTTATATTGTTACTCTAATATCATTGGTACTACTCTCTAGCTTTGTTACTACAAGTGCCATCTGGTATTTTTACCTCTTCCAGGGAGGCATCTACAGAGCATAGCTGCGTGAGGACTAAGAGTGGGGATCCGATGTCCATCTACTTCACCAGTGGGACTACTGGAGCCCCCAAGATGGTGGAGCACTCCCAGTGCAGCTATGGACTAGGTTTTGTGGCCAGTGGAAGGTACTGGAGACAGATCTATCTAGTGGGTCCAAGACAGAGAGTAGATGTGTGAGTGAGAAGGATGAGGGAGGGTTAAATGGCAGCAATTGAGGTGGGGGCAATGAGAGGGCAAGGGTCTTGGTTACTTTTTCACATTGCTGACACAAAACACCTGATGCCAAAAATTATGGAAGGAAAGGTTTATTTAGCTACCGTGTTTGGAGGTTTCAGTCCCCCACTCAGCTGGTTCCAAAGCAGGGTGGCATGGCGGCCACAAGTGACAAAAGTGAAAGGGCAAAAGAGGAGAAGCACACCCCCTTCCCTCCCTTATATTGTATGCCAGCTACCCACCCCTGGGTAGGTGTGTCACTCGCACCACCAATCCCAACGCTAGACAATAAACCAATCACAAATGATAGACTCAGCTGCCTCCATGACTGCATGAGGCTTTGCAGGGATGCCCAGACACAAACCATAACAGCAAGTCAGGCTCTGAGCTTTACTCTGAGTAAGATGAAAAGCCATTAGAAGGGTTTTTTTTTTTTGGTGGGAAATATGCATAAAACACCTTTATCATTTTAAAAACATTTATTTTACTCCATTCATAAAAATCATTACTATCCATGGACCACCATGTGATGTTTCAGTACATGCATACATTGTGTAATGTTAAAATCAGGGCAAACCTACCTATGTACTCAAACATTTGTCATTTATTTTTGGTGGGAACATTCAAAATCATCTAGCCAATTTTATCACTATCATCCTTTAAACATATCATCCATTTTCAGTAAATACTGTCATATAACTGTGCAATCATCACCACCACCCATCTTCAGAAATTTGTTATATCTTCCTAAAGAGAAACTGTATGCCCATTACATCGTAACTCCCCATTAACCTCTCTGCCTATTGCTGGCAACCTCTTCCTGCTTTCCATCTCTATGAATTTAAGGACTCTAGGTACCTCATGTAAGCAGGAGGATATGATATTTCTCAAGTTTTGAAATTTGGCTTTCACTTAGCCTCGTGTCCTTGGCATTCATCGGTTTGGAAGTATATGTCAAAGTTTCCAAACTCTTCAAGGCTAAAAATGTATTTGCATTTCATGTACACATTACGTTTTTAAAGCCATACTTGTGCTGGTAGACACCCGGCTACTGCACACTTCTCTGCCTCACCTCTGTGATTCTATCTATCATTAAGTCCGACTATGTATTATTAAATTCATCTCCTGTCAGAAGCATCTTTCAGACCCATCTCCATCCTTGCTCAAAATGTCATTGTATAAGGGTTTGTGTGTTTCTCTGTTAAAGCATGCTCTCTGGGAGCTTCCTTGATGTGTACACTTACGAAACTGTGAGATACTCAAAGTAAAACTAATCATTTCCATATCCCTGATGCTAAGTGCAAGCTAAGTGCTAAATAAATGTTGGCTAAAAAAGAAAAGGTGCCCAAATCCCAATGTATTGGGAACATTTATTACCTTATGTGACTCTCACTAGACTGTGAACTCCTTGAAAACATGGGAACCACTGTGTTAACTCTGTCCTTAGCCTAGGTAATAGGTACACAAAAGATGCTCAAAAAATATTGTGTTGAGATAATATTTGATTTGGTTGACAGGTTTGATAAGCATAAATAAGTAAAAACCTACAGTGACCAATGCTCCAAATAAGATGATATAGAGGGTGTAATCTTTTTGTAGTTTCGTTGTTTGGCACTGAGAATCAAACTCAGGACCTTGTGGTTGCTGGACAGGCACTTATGCTGCTGAACTATATCTCTGCCCTTGTAATCCTTTTTTATATCACTCTACTACTGAGCTCTATTTATTTTTCATTTTGAAATAGGATCCCCTTAAGTTGTGCAGGCTGGGCTCAAACTTGTGATCCTCCTGTTTCCACCTCCGAAGTACCAGGGGTTCCAGCTAAAGGTATTGCTGAGAATGCTGAGTCTCTCTGCATTTTTACAGTCGGTGGATGGGCCTGACTGGATCAGATATCTTCTGGAACACAACTGACACTGGCTGGGTGAAGGCGGCCTGGAGTCTCTTCCCTACCTGGGCTATTGGATCTTGTCTTTTTGTGCATGAGATGCCCCGAGTTGATACCAAAGTTATCCTGAATGTAAGAGACTGACTGAAACATTGCTTATGTGTTGGGTATAAATGAGATGTGTGGGCTGTGCATTTCAAGGTTGTAGGACAAAAAAGTATGAGCCAGTGACCATAGATTTCCCTCATACTGATACTAACCAAGAAGTCTCCCAGGACCTTGCCTAATCTGGGTCCTGTACACCTATCTCCAATCATTGTCTGTCCTCAAGCTAGAGCCCTAGATGAAGAGCATTTCCTCTGCCCAAACCTTTCCCTCTGCCCGAGGTGACCCTCTCTGCATCAGCTTCTTCCCCATAACCCTCAGCAACACATCCTGCTGCTCACAGTGCTGACCATGAGTCTTTTGCCCAACTGCAGCCCTATTGACCCCGTCTTCCAGGGTCTTCTCATGTAAAGGAAAAATTGATACCCCAGCAAAGACACAGGACATTTTCTTCTGTCCTCTGCATCCTAACTGATGGTTCCTAAACATCCTAGAGCCCATCTACCTATAGTTTTCTTTTAGGAATGGTATGTCAGATGGTGGCAGATAGCACGGGCTGTGCCATCTGTCAAACCTGGCTCTCAATCTAAATATTTCCTAATAGTGTGGCCTTGAAAATGTCACCCAGCCTTGCTGAGACTCAGTTTCCCTATCTGAAAGAACAAAGAGAAGGGCAACATAGTTTTATAGCATTATGATGAGAATTAAACAGTATCTGGTACAGAGCCTGGCACGTTGTAGGTCCTTGACACACATTATTATTATTAATCATCGTAGTAATCTTTTTTAGGACTTGTGTTTGTGTGTGGGTTCTCCTTCTATTCCTCTGCTCTGGCATAGTGCATTCTTTATCTGCTGTTCTGCTAAATAAACACAAATTGCAGCAGCTTAAAATGCAGCACTGGTTATTTCTACTAATCGGGAATCTGAAATCACTTCAGGTCAATCGTTCTAAAGCAGAGATCTCATGAGGTTGTAGTCAAAATAGCAACCATGCTATGCTCATAGCTGTATGATCACCAGTAGTTAAAAGGTAGAAGCAACCCATGTACCTACTCACAGATGAAAGAGTAAATATGCATTGAATGCTATTCAGCCTTTATGAGGAAGGAGTTTTTGCTACTACATGAATGAACCTGGAAGGTGTTATGCTAAGTGAAAGACACCAGGCATCATCGAAGACTACAATCATTTTCAGGCTCAGTTGAGGCTGGAAAATCTGCTTGAAAACTGACCCATGTTTTTTAGCAAGCTACCATTGCTCCCAGGCTACTGGCATTAGGCTTCAGCTCCTTCTCTGTGTGCTCATCCACAGGATAAAGTGTATTCACAACACAGTAGTGTGCTCCACAATCTAATCCAGACACCATCATCTTTGTAGAACCAGTCTCAAAGGTGATATCCATCATCTTGACTGTGTGCTGTTGTCACATAAGTCAACCTGGATGTACTGTGGGAAGGGGCTCCCAACACAACAATTACCAGATGGTGGAGGTTACTGGCGGCTGTCTTGGAGACTGTTCCGCACATGGTTAATAATGGGAATATAAAGACCCAGTAAACCTGCTTCCATGAAGTAAAATGAATAGTGACCCCAAGAAACTGTTGTCAGTTGTTGTTGTTGGGAAATAAGTTTGCCGTGTATCCCAGGCCAGCCTTGAACTCATGATCCTTTTGCCTCAGTCTCCCCAGTGCTGGAATGAGAGGTACATGCCCTCAAGCCTGGCTTATCTCTGGTTTTTGTTTAGACCCTCTCCAGGTTCCCGATAACCAACTTCTGCTGTGTGCCAACCATCTTCCGGCTGCTTGTTCAGGAGGATCTGACCAGGTATGGTCCATGGTTTGGGGCTTTGACAGCCTGATAATGTGAGTGTACAGCAGGGAAAGCCACATATACACACCCGCTCATCCCACCTCTCTTCATTTCGGTCTCTCAGTATTTCTATGCCTCTATCTCTGTTTCTGCCTGTATTTGTATCTGTATCTATTTGTCTAGTGTCTTTTTCACACACACACACCTTACCACAAGCATACACACACACATCCCTTGAAATGCCTTTCAAAGACCATTTTCTGACTCCTAATCCACACACAGATGGACCTAAGTAGATTCAACATAGTGTGAATTTTAGCCCTCAAAGTGGGCTCTGTCTCCCACTACCCATCCATTGGTGATTCCCCCAGCAGCATGCACATTACATCTATAAGGTTACAGAAATTTCTGGATTACTATCTGCTGCCTATGGAATGAGACTTATCCAGCACTCTGGAGTCTGGCAGCACCAATAAACCCAGCACAGCAGATGGTCCATCTCCCCTCCCCAGGTGAACTCAAAGTAGCCATTCTGTGAGCACCTGCCACTGTGCACACTGTAGGTGGCTCAGTCCTGGGAAAATACATCACAATGTGTGCTGGCAGGGCATGACTGGCTGCGAGTGTTGGGGAGAATTTTGTCACCTCTCAGTACCCACTGGCCCCAATCTTATGTCCCTCTTCTGTCTTCCTCCAAAACATAGAGGTTGTCCTTACCCTACCCTTATCCTAAACACAGCCTCACCACAAAGTGCCTAAAAGAATAAACTGATTCAGTTGAGACAAGGTCTATCATAATAAGGTCCATTCCCTGATCTGCTGTGGTTGTCTCCACATTATGATTTTGGCAACACCAAATACCTCAATCCAATTTGATTCAAAAGGGAAAAAATATTGAACGTGTGTTTGTAATCACAGGGTGGTTTTTTTTTCACTTTTGACAATTTACTGAATTGAGAGGTAGCTTCACAATTTATTTAACATCTTTAGGAATTTGGGGACTATTCATCAAAATCCTGGGATTCTTAAAGGGCTTTTGTTATCTTTTAGATTTTTAATCAACTTATCTTTCTCAATCAGATTACTGTCTCAACAATTTTATTGGGAAAGCATGATCAGGTGCATGCTTCTAGTCCCAGAACTCAGCAGGCTGAGGCAAGAGGATTGTTATTAGTTCCAGACCAGCCTGGGCTACATAGTGAGTTCAAGGCCAGCCTGAACTATATAGTAAAATCCTATCTCAAAAAGACAAAAGAAAACTTCTTAATTTCCATCTAAATTATTTTGGTCAGTTCTCTTGGAACTCATCAAGTTATGCTGAAACCTACCATATAAGGTTCTTATTTTATTGCAAATTCAAATAGGATTTTTTAAAGTTATCTGTCCCTGAGGAACGTGCCTGCAAAGCCGGTGGGTTGGGGTCACTTGGGCAGCTCATAGCACAGAAAGTTTACCCTGTGGAGCTTTGGGCATCTATGTGTACCCAGGAAAGGGTCCTGAAGGGTGGGAGGAGATGGGTTCTAACTTGGGTGGCCTTCCTTTCCTGCCTGAGAAAGGTACCAGTTTCGGAGCCTGAGGCACTGCTTGACAGGGGGAGAGGCCCTCAACCCTGACGTGCGAGAGAAATGGAAGTGCCATACGGGTCTGGAGCTCCATGAAGGCTATGGACAGTCTGAGACGGTGAGTGTGAGGGCCAGGCCCTGCCTCCACAGCAGCCCTCGGCCATCAGAAGGTTGTGGCTCTACAACACCTGCCTTTGTGACTGCCCTCTCCCTGAAACCTGTCTCCAGGAAGAGACATGAACAATGAAACTCTCGGACCAAAACTTTATCAACTTCTCTTCCTTTTGGTGTAAAAGTAAAATAATTTCCTAGTTATCCCAGAAAACAGCTCTTGTGGCCAAGGCTGTTACTGGCTCCACCAGAAGAATGCACATTTGCTCCTGATGGAGCCTCAGTCCTAAGCAGTGTCCCCTGTAACCACTAGGGCAGAGATAAGCTATCAACTGTGTCTTCTGGCTTAGTGATAATATATAAATTTCTTCATGCAAGTGCCCAGTGATGTACTCTATAAATGCTTGTTGACTGTGGAAAGAAGAAAGGAAGGAAAGAGGGTAGGATGGATGGATGGATGGATAGATAGATGGATGGACAAATGGATGTGGAGAGGAATAGAGAGGATGAATGTGGAAGGGAAGCAAAGAGGGTAGGAAGAAACAGAGGGAGGAAAGATAGAAGAAAGAAAGAGAAAGAAAAAAGAATGTGGGAAACAGGAGGAAAAAGAAAGGAAGCAGGAGAAAAAGTGAAGGAAGAGGATAGAATGAGGTGAAAGAGAAGAAAAAGAGGAACAGGAGGAGGGAGAGGAAAAAGAAGCGGAAGGGAGAAAGAACTGGATAGCGGAGGAGGGAAAGGCACCAACCAGGAAAGCTGCAGCTTCTCTTACTGGCACCGGCTTCTCTCCAGGTTCCAATCTGTGCCAACGCAAGAGGCACCAAGATCAAGTCTGGCTCCATGGGCCGAGCATCCCCGCCTTACGACGTGCAGGTAGGACAGCGGGAGACCTGTGCCGAGGGAGCCCAGGCTTGGTGGGTGGGTGGCCTAAGGTGCAGACGCTCAGACACCGTCCTGTGACTGCTCCACCAGATCGTGGATGATGAGGGCAACGTCCTGCCACCAGGAGAGGCGGGGAACATTGCTGTGCGCATCAGACCCACCCGGCCCTTCTGCTTCTTCCATTGCTATTTGGTAAGAGACAGAGGACTGCCAGCCTCGGTCACTGTAGAGTTCATAGTGAGCTTTGTGCAGCAGACGATATAAAACACCTGTTGTTTAACCCTTGCATACTGCACAAGGCAGGTTGCTACTATTACCCCTAAGGTATTATCACTGATCAGAAAAACTGTCATTGATAAGGAAACTATGGAAACGAAGTGTCTCATCCACCATTACCCAGAGCATAGCACAGGTCATGGGATTTAAACACAGGTGTGTCAAGGGTGCAAATGTATGTCGTGAGGTGTCCTCATCATTTTAAAGAAGAGAAAAACTAAAGTCCAAGGAAAGGAAGGGTCAGAGTGCAATCACAGGTCAGGGTCAAGTTTTCGGGATTCATTTTATGGTTTCTTGGCATTCCTTGTCCTCTAGGATTTCAGCCCAAATTTCTGAAATAGAAATGACATAGCATCATGTATTGAGTCTGTTTCTGACAAGTTAAACCTACCCTTCCCCAGAACAAGTGAGCATTTTCCAAGTTCCTGTTGACTAGTCCCCAATAACTGAAGCTGTAATACTAACTGAACTAATATGCCTGTCAACTTTATACCCAATATTTTATTACAGCAAAAGATATATTGCCCTTAACCCCCCCCCAAACACACACATACACAATACTTCCCCCTCACATTCTTGCCACTTACTGAAGCACTTCTGAAAGTCCTTTCTGTTGTATCTTTGCGAGGTGTGGCAAAGACACTGACAAGGATAAAGTGGATGGCTCTGCAAGTGCCATTCAATGGAGAGGTCGTGCTGTAGAAAACACTCCCAGAGTCCTCATCCACCCTATGCACTGGGACCTGGTGCTGTGCAACTTCTGTGATTTCCCCAAAGCCAGAATCACCGTGAAAAGTGAGCGTTTTAAATAAATTCAGGAAATCGAGGCAGTTATGACAGTTCAACTAAAGACACTCATGAGAAGAGGACTTCTAGAATTGCTTCAGAAAGTGGCAAGAATGATAGGGTGTGTTTGAAGTGATGGAAGTATTCTGAGGGGGTTATTGATTGTTTAAAATTTAAGTATTCACTCCAGCTTTCTGACCACACCTCATGTCCTTGTCAAATTCCATGAAAAAGTTTGTAAGCATTTTAATTGGGGCAGCGCCAGTCCATAAATCAATGTGGAAAGAACTGACTTCTCTGTGTTTCTTTGCATCTTTCTATTTATTTATAACTTCTTTAATATCCTGTAGTCTTAAGTTTTCTGTGTACACACCTTACAGATTTCGCATTGAATATATTTTTAGGCATTGATAGTTTATCTTTTCCCTTTTTGTTTAAAATGCATTTTTGAATGGTGATATAACTTTATAATTTCCCTACCAAAACTATGTCCATGTTGAGAATATGGGTCAGTGACATTTGACAAATGTATGTGCCTCTGTAATCACCACTACAGTCAAGATATGGAATATTACTGGCCCCACCTCAAGATTCCCTTGTGTCCCTTTGCAGTCAACCTCCCTACTCCAGATCCTAGGCAATTTGTATCTCATTTCTTGTCACTATACAAGAATTTTATCTTTTTAAGAAGAACGTACATAAATGGAATCATAAAATACCCACTTTTGAGTGTCTAGTTTCTTATACTCAGCATAATATTCTTGCCATTCATGTATCCTGTTGCATGTGTTAAACATTTCTTTCTTTCTTTTTTTGGTACCAGGAATCAAACTTAGGACCTTGAGCTTGCCAGACAGGCACTGCACCACTGAGCTATATCCCTAGCTCAGGAACTTTTTATTTGTATTGCTCAGTAGTAGCTTTTTCTATAAAGCTTTGAGAACCATAGTTTGCTGTTTGGGTTCCTTTTCCTCTACCTTGACTCCCACCAATAAGTCTTTCAGCCAACCCTACTTTTTACCTTCTGCTTACAGAGCCAAATCACTTGAATCCACCTCAAATCACTTCTTGGCAGCTCTCTTCATATTTACAGAGGTAAACGCACAATCTGACAGGACCACACTCCCTGCCCATGGGGCATTCTGGCTGGCACGGGCATTGGAACTAACTGCTGTGTTTCTAATTAGAGGCTCCCTGATCCCCTGCACAGAGCTGCTGGGGCAGTGGCTGCCCTAAATGGCTGGTTCAGGTGTCCTTCAGGGCCTTTCTGTGTCTTTCAGGACAATCCTGAGAAGACAGCAGCATCCGAACAAGGGGACTTTTACATCACAGGGGACCGGGGCCGCATGGACACGGATGGTTACTTTTGGTTCATGGGAAGAAATGATGATGTGATCAACTCCTCAAGGTCAAGCCACCTGCTCTTTCCTCCTCCCTTTGCACTTTCATGGCAGAAGGAAGGCCCTTCAGAAGTTTATTTTTCTCTTCCAGCTACCGCATTGGACCCGTTGAAGTGGAGAGTGCCCTTGCTGAACATCCTGCTGTCCTTGAGTGTGCTGTGGCCAGCAGCCCAGACCCCATCCGGGGGGAGGTCAGAAGACAGCTAAGAGCGTAGCCTCCTGCTTCTGTGCCTGTTAGCACCCAACAGAGCAAGCAGGAAGGGCCAGGCTCCCCTATAAATCTCACCCCCATCTGTACCACCAAATACCACCCTCAGCCCCATTTCCTTTCCACTAAGCATCATCTTCACACCTTTAGAGATACACTTTCTAGAGGGACATGATGGGAAAATACCAAGCTTTCATTCTGAGGGAACACCGAACTGGGCTCAGAGAGGCTGTTGGGCAGGAGTAGTTGGTGGCAGATACAGGTTCTGTTATCCACTCTGTTCAGTAAAAAGCCTTTTTATCTTTGCATCTAGCAAGCACACTAGACATGGTTGCTGAGAATGCTAACCCAGAAAGGACAGCCAACCTGAGAGATATCAGGATATGTATCCAGAATGGCCTTACTATACCAGGAGCACAAGCCAAGCGTAATAAGCTGAGCTTTACAGGAGAAATGCGTATTCCTTTTTTGAGTTCCAAAGGAATAGATAGAATGGGAAAGATCAGCTAATAGACATACATATTTTCACTGGCTGGAAATCCAACATAAGCTTAAAGTACAATGCGACTGTCTCATGCAAGATAGTGAGACATCATTTTGTTCCCTTGAAAACCTCAGACTCAGAGGACAGGTTCTCAGGGTTTGGTCCCTGGACTTTTCACAGCTGCACTGCACTCATGCAGATTTGTGGAGCTCAAGTTGGACTTGCTGAATCAGACTAACTGGGATGTAGCCCATTCTGGCTGGCAGCCTTGCCAAATGACTTCCATTAAACTTTGAGTCCAGGAATATAGCATGGGGGAGATGTGAATCTCAGCCGTGATGGAGAAAATTATCCTGGAAAAGTGAACTCTTCTCAGCATGCCGTGAATTCACTGGAGCCAAAATAGATGGCTATATCCTCAGAGTTAGTTCTTATATAATGCTTAGACTAGAGCCTCACACATAGCAAGTGCTCAATAAATGTTTAGTAGAAAAAGCACTTGCTAGAAGCCAGATCTGCCTGAATATGAAATGACAGGGAGTTTCCTGCCTCTAGGAAGTTTGTTAGGACCATGAACCCTAAGGTGTCCCCTAAGATGTTGGAAGAGTTTGAGGCTCATGTGGACCTACAACCCAGTGGCTTTTTGAGCTTTTTCATTCCTGTGAGAACCCTGCTCATTTATGCACTTATACTTCTCTTGGGCAGAAGGCACCCTGCAGGAAAAACCTGGGCAGAGAAAGCCGAGGTACAAGTGTCTTCGGGATACCCAGGACAGTAGTACAGCTCAGTATTTGTTGACTGAAAACATTTGTACATACTACCTGCCCTCACCCCCACACCCCCAAAAAATCACAGCTGCCCTTACAGTTCTTTTTCTCCAGTCCTGCCCTCCTGACCCTGTTCCTTGCTATCCTCCTAGTCAGGAAAATCTAGAAGTAAGTGGCCACAGGAGTCTGTGAAGCTCCTTCCTCCAATGTATTAGCATTTTAAGCAAGATAATCTGCCTTCCAATGAGGTCATGGCAAACAGGGGGATTGCTTGGCAAAAAGAGTTCAAAAACTCATTCCATGATCCTGAAAGGCAAATGGGAAAATTCATGCTGTCCATTTCACTGAATGTGCCCATGGAATGGGAAGTACCTTCAGCATGGGCTGGGAAGTGTGAGCACATGGTTACAAGGCTGGCTGGAGGAGGGAAGAGTTGTAATGGAAGGCTTGGTCTTGTGGGGTCTTTGCAGGTGGTGAAGGCTTTCATAGTCCTCTCTCCGGCCTATTCCTCCCACGACCCAGAGGCACTGACCCGGGAACTCCAGGAGCACGTGAAGAGGGTAACTGCTCCGTACAAGTACCCTAGGAAGGTAAACACCCTGCGTTCTAGGTCACAACAAGCCAGGAAATCAGATGGCCACATGATACCTGAGCTCATACATGAGGCCAGGCTCTGTGCCACACAGTGGGAGGGCAGACGTGGAGAGATGTACACCCCCCAGATCCTGCTACAGCCTCCTTCCTTCCTTCCTTCCTTCCTTCCTTCCTTCCTTCCTTCCTCTTTCTTCTCTCTCTCTCTCTCTCTCTCTCTCTCTCTCTCTCTCTCTCTCTCTTTTCTCTTTCTTCCTTTTTTTCAGCACTGGGGATCGCATCCAGGAGTAATCTGCCACTCAGTTACAGGAGCACTCTGCTCTGTTCTGAAGCAGGGTCTCATTAAATTGGCTTAAACCTTGTGATCCTCTTGCCTCAGCCTCCTGGAGTGGTAGGATCACTACTTCACCCAATTTGTCTGTTTTTTACTGGACCTCCCCAGGGCCCACTGAACTCTTACTCTAAGAACTGCCTTATGAAAGATGCAGAGGGTGATATAGAATTGCTGACAGCCCACCTGCTCCAAGCTCTAGCTATTTGGATTTTTGGTACTTGGGAAAAGCCCGGTTCATGGACACTTTCCCAAAGTGGCAGCAGGTAAACTTTCTTTCAAGACAAAAGTCTCTTGGGAAAATGATTTCTAAGTGTGTTTTTTTTTTCTTTTTCTGGTCACTAGGTGGCTTTTGTTTCAGAACTGCCAAAGACAGTTTCTGGAAAGATCCAAAGAAGTAAACTGAGAAAGCAAGAATGGGGGAGATGATGTGCATCCCCTGGTCCATAGTCCTCTGGATGTTCTAGGAAGTGGTGGACTCACTGGTCATCCCCTGCTCCAAACATCGTCCCCTCAGCCCTGTAGACATCAAGATGCTTAGCTTCTAAATGGGCATCTCCAGAATCACCACAGGATCCTGGAAAAGAAAGGAAGAGCATCCCTGACCCAGAGCACATAGCCATGTCCCAGTCTAGCAAATGCCCAAAGGCTCAATTTGCCCTGCAGCCTGGGGGCATCCCCAGCATATGCCCCCTTGGTCTTAGTAAGAGCTCCCAGCTCCCCAAAGCAATGATGGCTTGGTTACCTTAAGCTTAGCCACTTGTGTGTAGTCTCTCCTGTGACAGTGTGAAGATTTAACCTTTCAGAAGAAGCCATTTGATAATAGCATCCAGGCTATAAAATGGGCCAGTCCTTTAATTTACAAACTCCAACTCTAGAAGGCTGAGGCAGGACTGCAAGCTCAAGACCATCCTTGGTCAACTTAGAGATTTAGTGAGACCTTGTCTCAATGGGGGAAAAAAAGCACTGGATATGTAGCTCAATGCAAAAATGTAATCCCCCATGCTGGAAGAAAAAGAAGAAGAAGAAGAAGAAGAAGAAGAAGAAGAAGAAGAAGAAGAAGAAGAAGAAGAAGGAGGAGGGGGAGGGGGAGGGGGAAGAGGAGGAGGAGGGGGAAGAGGAGGAGGAGGAGGAGGAAAAGAAGAAGAAGAAGAAGAAGAAGAAGAAGAAGAAGAAGAAGAAGAAGAAGAAGAAGAAGAAGAAGAAGAAAACATTTGGTGTTCAAAGATACTCACTGTAGCATTGTTTAAAACTGCAAAACAAAACAACAAATCAATGTTAAAACAATAGATGTTTGATTTTATTATGTGATGGCATGAATTTTGAAGAAAACAAGACATTATAATAGCCAGTGCTGATTTAATATCATCTTGATTTGAAGTCCTACCATACTTTTGTTCTTCTGTTTCCATTGGTTCTATCATGTAGTATCTTATTGGATTTTACCATGTGTGGTAGTATAAACAAATTTTTTATGGGCAATGAGATAATATACTAACCATTGTTCATTTTCTGTTATTTGGTTCTGAATGACTTGTAATACTTTCATTCTCTTTAATGGTTTTATACCATTTTGTTATGTTTGATACTATTGTATATGAAAGTATGCTCAACTATTATTTCAAGGAAAGAGACATTATGGTAGCTACTGTTATATCAGGTTGTCTTGTGGTGAAATACTGTGTTGCTTAAGTTGTTCTGTTCTGATCTGCTTTGTTATGTCCTCTTTTATTTTAATCTCTTTAAAATAAAAAAGTAGAAGGATTAAGCTATCATCAATTAAATCAATAACACATTTAAAATACTCAAGGATTGAGATTTTGTAGGTAAATGAACATAACTGAAACCATTCTCATTAGTCAAATAAATCAGACTCACATGTGTAAGCATCATATTGTCTCCCCAATGTGAGAAACTGAAAGAGTATATAAGATCCAAAATGTACAATAGATGTTGTGAAATGTGAACAAATTTTTTAAAAGGAAAAATGAAGTAGGATGGGGAAAACAGGAAAAGAGGCCAGGGATTTAGCTTAGTGGCGCAAGTGCCTGCCTTACAAGTGTACAGTCATGAGTTCGATCCTCAGTACAAAAAGAAAAAAAAAACCAGCAACAACAACAGGAAAAGAAGGAAGGAGAAGGAGAAGGAAGGGAAAAGGAAGAAAAATGCAAGTTAGTTATATTGTTAGTGTGTCTTAGCTCATAAGAAAGGAGGTTTGTGCTACTATTCATTGGAGAATATTTTATGACCAAATCTTGTACTCTGAGTAACTACTTTTTTGAGGGATGAGAGTGGGGATTAGGAACCAAACTCAGGACCTTGCACTTGCCATGCAGGTACTGTGCCACTGAGCTAAATCCCTGGCCCTACTACTTTGAAGATAATAATATGCAATTTATTAACTATTGTTATTCACCTATCATCTTGTTATGAAATTCTGTTTTACCTTTTTTCCATAAAATAAAAAAATGTACTCAAGAATAGTTTAATATATCTTAGGAAAAATATAAGCTATAGTAAATTTAAAAGGTAGAATGAAAATTATTTTCATACTATGGAGTCACAATTCAAGGAGGGGGAGTAAAGTATAGCTGGGGAAACATCTGAAAGAAAATATACTAGGAAACCCAAGCAGCTAGCAGGGGCTGGAATCCAGTCTGGGCCCTGAACATGCATGCAGGCTGAATTCCAACACATGGGGAAGCCTTAAAACTTCACTCCCAGGCTGTAAGATCACATCTACCATCTGAAATCACCCTAGGACACACAGAGAGTACCAACTGGCCTAACTGGGCCAAGCCCAGCAAACCCCAAGCGGCTAGCAATGGCCTGCCGTCTGCCCTGGGAGCCAAAAGTGGACCAGGTGATCCCAGTGCATGAGGGAAGTTATGAAACATTACTCAAAACCCAGAAATACAGGAAAAAGACAAAACAGAGCAAAATGCAATCTCAAACTTATAGCCCAACCCAAGCAAGCATAGGACACATAAACACGGAAGAAAATATAAACCAAACACCTAAAATGTCTGAAATGATAACAACTAAAGAAAAGAAACAACTCCAGGAAACTATAAAAGAATTCAAATCATAAATAGTCTGCCAGGTAAAAGAAGAAATGATAAATGTAATGAAAGAAATGCTGAACACATCTAAAGAAGACATAGTTTAAAAAATTAGAGGAACAATGCAAAAAGATGGAAACTCTGAATAAACAATGTAAGAAACAAAATGCATGAAACAGATTCAAAGAGATATACAGAAAATCAAAAATTCCATTGAAAGTTGGCAAAACTTTTGGCCTCAACAAAAGTGAAGATAGAATTTCAGACCTCGAAGACAAGATTGCAGCTAGTGAACAGGAAAGGAAAAGTATTTTAAAAATAAGAAGTAACCTGGAAATAACAATTCAACAACTGCAAGATGATGCAAAGAAAAACAACATAAGATTGATAGGTATAAATGAAAAGGAAGATGACAATACAAATGATATCAAGAGAATATTTACAAAAGTAATAGCTGAAAATTTCTCAAACATGAGAATGGAACCTGAAATACAGATCAGTGACGCTTATAGAACTCCAAAAAGCCATAATCAAAATAAACTACACCCAGACATATAATAATCAACATCCCAGAATCCAACATAAGACCAGAATATTAAAAGCTGCTAAAGAGGAGAGACAGATCACCTATGAAGGAAAGCCTATCAGAATCACAGCAGACTTCTCAACACAAACAATGAAGTTGAGAGGAGCATGGAGTGAAGTATTTCAGATCTAAAGGAAAATGATTTCCAACCTAGACTGATGTACCCTGAAAAACTGTCTTTCAAAATGGATGGAGAAATAAGATACTTCCATGACACAGAACAGCTGAAGAATTTCATGACCACCAAACCAACCCTGCAAAGAATACTGAAAGACATTCTAGACAGACATAGGAAAAGGTTTTTTACCAGTAAGCAAAGCAAACAATTAAAAAGAGTGGAAAGGTAAAGAATCAACAGCAGAAAGATACCATGTCAAAAGTAAACCAATATATACCAGTTATAATCATTAAAGTAAATGGCCTCAATTCACCAGTTTAAAGAAACAGACTGGCAGAATGGATCAAGAAACAGAGTCCTCTTTTATCTCAATCTATCCCTTATTCATTAAAAAATTATTTAGTTTTTTTAATGGTTTTTTTAATTAAGGGGAAAAATTTAAAAATTAGCTGGATATATAATAGTACCTTTTTTATTTCCTATTAACTTGTTTTGAAGTCCTATAATACTCCCACTATCTTGTTTTGACTGATTAGACTCTGTTCCATTCTGTATGATACTATCAAGTTTGAGGGTATAGGCAACTACTTTGAAGGCAATAAGATTCACTAAGATGCCCATTCTGGTTTGACTATTGTCTCCTTTGGAAGTCCTGTAATGTTTACAATGCTTAAGTTTTATTGGTCTTGTTCTCTACTGTTTTGTTCAACTTTATAATACCTAATGAGACAGACAATTCTTTTTAAGGAAACAAGAGACATTATGGTAGCCATTGTTGATAACCTTGTACTCTGTTTTTACATCATGTGCTATGTCTATCCTTGGTTTTGACTGACAGCTTTGTTTTGTCGTATTTGACTTTATTCTCCCCCCCAAAAAAGTAATAAGAACTAAGGAGTAATAAAACCCAAAATGTGTAAATTTTGTTGTAAAAAAGAGAAGGAAAAAAGTGCTCTAAAAGATACAACAGCAAGTGTGTTTAGGGGTGTTAAATAGCTGACCATATTAATGTTTTTGGTTGGATCACTGAACACAACTGTTTGAAGTCTCACTGTTTGAATGTCTACTTTGTATGCTTTGATACTGTGATTTGAGCAACTATCTATCTCTAAGATGATAATATGTAATGTATTAACTGGTGATTTCTTACTGCGTTTTTTTTTTTGTAGTTCTGTATTACTTGTACCCTTACACTGCTTTGTTTTGTTTTTTCTCTTTTTCCTTTTAAATAAAATTTTAAAAAAAGAAACAGCATCCAACCATATGCTATATACAGGAAATCTAACCCAAAAGGAAACACATAGACTGAAAGTCAAAGGATGGAAAACAATACTCCATGCAACAAGATCCACAAAAAAAAAAAAAAAGCAGGCATAGCTATTCTGTTTGCAGACAATATGAATTTCAAGCCAAGAGTGATCCAGAGAGACAAAGAAGGCCACTACATATTACTAGTTAGGGGAAAACTTCAAGACAAAGACATAACAACCTTAAATATCTATGCACCAAATTTGGAGCACCCAGCTATACAAAACAAATATTAACAGAAATGAAAAACAAATAAGCAATAACAAAATCATAACAGGAGACCTTAACACACCATTGACACCAAGGGACAGATCAACTAGATAGAAAATCAGCAAAGAAATAACAGAACTGAGTCACACTTGTGAACAAATGGACCTAATAGACATATACAGAGTGCTCCACCCAACAACATCAGAATATACATTCTTCTCAGCAGCATATGGAACGTTCTCTAAAATAGACCATATAATAGCCCACAGAACATGCTTAAGTAAACGCAAAAGAGTTGAAATTATCCCATGCATGTTATGAGATCATAGCACCATGAAACTAGAAATTAATGACAAGAAACTGCAGAAACCCCACAAACACATGGAAATTGAATAATACACTCCTAAGCAGTCAAGTGGGTCACAGAGGAAATTAAAAAAGAAATTAGGCAATATTTATAAGTAAACAAAAATACAAATACATCTTACTGGAACCTGTGGGATGCAATGAAAGCAATCCTCAGAGAAAAATTTATTGCAGTGAGTTTCCACTTCAGGAAAACAGAATGAACACAAATAACCTGATACTACACCTCAAACATCTAGAAAAAAAGAGCAAGTCAAGCCCAAAGGAAGGAAATTATAAGGTTAGAGCAGAAATCAATGCAATAGAGATTAAGAAAACAATACAAAAAATCAATGAATCAAAGAGTTGGTTCTTTGAAAGAATAAATAAAATTGATAAGCCCTTAGCCAACCTTATTTTAAAAAGGAAAGAAAAAACTCAAATTCATGCAATAAGGAATGAAAAGGGTGAAATCACTACAGATGATCATCAATGCATATTTTGAAAATCTCTACTCTCATAAGCTTGATAATACAGAAGAAATCGACAGATTCCTAGAAACATATGACATACCAAATCTGGGTCAAGAAGATGTAAAACTACTGAGTAGCCCAATTTCAACCACAACTACAAACACACTCAACCACCTATCACCATGTACTAAATTAAAATCTAAGTAAATCAAAGATCTGAATATTAAATCAGAAACACTAAATCTATTAAAAGACAAGTTGAGTAAAAACCTTGAAAACATAGGGGTAGGTAGACAATTTATGAACAGGAATCAAACTGCACGGGAAATACTTCCCAGAATCAAAAACTGGGATCATGTCTTATTAAATTCTGCATGTCAAAAGAAATCTCTAGCATAGTGAAAAGAAAATCTCCCAACTGGGAAACAATCTTATGAACTGTCCCTCAAACAAAGGACTTTTGTCTAAAATATATAAAGAATTTAAAAAATCAGACCTCCAAAACTCAAGAATTCAATCCAAAAATGGGCATCTGACATGAATACACATTTCTCAGATTAAGAAATACAAATGGCAAATACAGGAAAAATGTTCAATGTCATTGGTCATTAGAGAAATGCAAATTAAAACAGCACTGAGATTCTTCTCATTCCAGAAAGAATGGCT